AAAAAAAAAAAAAAAAAAAAAAAAAAAAAAACAGAGTGGTATAGAAGGAAGGAATCTATATTTACAGTTTTTTTGTGGTTTTTGAAGTTGTAAGCATTTTTGCAGTAATTAAGGCGTTTTTTTTTTTTTCTGGATTATTAGTCTTTAATATTCCTGCTCTTTATCTCATGCTAGCTTTTTTAAAGACCACTTCTAGTAGCTTTTTAATATTAAACCAGTATGATCTTTCAAGTTCTAGTCAGTAGTTTTCCAAAAACAGTTCCATTCATTGATAATGATAGAGGTAATTTATCATTAGAGACTGGGACAGTTAGGCTGAGTAAATTCTAATGTTGACTGTTGTAGGCGGGTTGAATGAAAAAATTCGTATATTTTCGTCAGGATAAAGAATTGTATGGATAAGTTCATTGTAAAATGATATCGATATTCGAAACAAATCAGTCAAACTCGATCTTTGCGAAAGAAAAAACGAAACATCTGTATGACTGTTATAATCCAGACCTGTTTTGTTGAGAGCAAAGTTATATTACTTTTTCCCTTTCTTCTGTCTGTTTTATGTTTTTATTTTATTTTATTTTTTGCTGTTGTTGAAAATAAATTGTGTTACCTTTCTGTATGGTGTTGTACTTTGTCAGTTTATGTAAACTTAGTTCATAGTTGACCCAACAGAGTTTTGTTCTGTTTGTGTCCAATAAACAGTTAACAATTTTTTAAGGGTAAACTTTTCCTGATGTCTAAGAAAGTACCACTGAAAAAAAAAGGGAAGGGGAAAGTGTTGGTTCCCAAATGGAAATTATTTCGGGCGAAAGAGCCATTATTATCCGTTTTTATGTGGGGAGTTAACCACTCGGTAAGTTTGTTTTTTTATGCTTTTTGGTTTTTACGTTTGCATTTTGCTAAAACTGGTGAATTTTTGCATCAAGTTCAATGCAGAGATCAAAGAGGCTTTAATTGGACAGTAGAAAACTTTGTTAATTCTTTGACACGTATTTTAGATGGGTGAATTGATGCACGTCCCACCGCCTGGTTTACTGATGCCTGATGATTTTAAAGCAAGCGCAAAAATTAAAGTCGATTATCATGCTTTTAACAAGTTTGTTTGTTTTCTTTACTTAAAAGTTCATGTGAAGATCCAACTTCTATAATTTTGTTGAACTTTTATGCCAGAGCTGGTTATTTTGGATTCTCCGGTAATTATGATTAGTAAGATTTTTTTTTGGCGAGCTGTATTTATGTGTAAGAAAGCTTTCTGGGCAGTATCAGATTAAATTTTGGCTTTGCAGAGACAACATGCCAAGTCATTTTAAAATTAAGGACTACTGCCCAAATGTATTCAGGAATATTAGAGAACAATTTGGTGTGGATCAAAATGAGTATCTGGTAAACCATTGTGATTGTGACATTATTAATCACATATTTTTTGATAAATTCTTTCTCTTTTTCGCTAGTTGCTTCGGCTGTTTGATTGCACTTAACTGAATTTAAGAATGCTAATTTGATGACTGTATTTTTTAACACCTCTTTCCTATGGAATCAAAAATTGCTTTTTATTTTAGTTGTTTTCTGACAGGAAGTCTTTCAATTTACTTGCAGCGGTCTCTTACTCACTACGAACCAGATTCAGAGTCAGATCAAATTGACAAAAGCGGGTCGCGCTTATTTGTATCGTATGATAAAAAGTTCGTGATAAAAACAATGGATTCAGAAGCAGTAGCGGAGTTACATAGCATTTTACGTTCTTACCATCAGGTGACTATGATTTTTTTTTTTATAAACAAAAGAAGGATTGTAATTCTTTAGTTTTTGCGGGATTTTCAGTGCATTGCTGCTAATTTTTTTTATTAAAAACAAACAGAAACAAAACAAACAAAAAACGATATTTGAGTTTTCAGTATGTAGTGGAGAAACACGGTAAAACACTTCTTCCACAGTACCTTGGTCTTTATCGGATTACTGTTGATGGCACGGAAACCTATCTGATTGTTATGCGTAACATTTTTGGACGGAATTACGTTGTTCACCGCAAATATGATCTCAAGGTTTCTTTCCAGCCTTATTTTAAAGTCCCTCTGTGTTATTTTACTTTATTCACGGTTAGGTTTTTAGGGTTCTACCGTACAGCGTCAAGCTAGTGAGAAGGAGAAAACTAAGGAGCTTCCGACATTAAAAGTACTTCTTTTTTTGAATTGTTTTTCTTTTCATTTGTTGGTTTCCTTGATTTAA